CACACGGTCTACAGTAAAATGTTTGTTCATACATAACTTACCCAAACGGTCTATAGTAAAATATCTGTTCACCCATAACTTAACCACACGGTCTATAGTAAAATGTTTGTTCACCCATAACTTACCCACACGGTCTATAGTAAAATGTTTGTTCACCCATAACTTACCCACACGGTCTATAGTAAAATGTTTGTTCACCCATAACTTAACCACACGGTCTATAATAAAATGTTTGTTCACCCATAACTTATCCACACGGTCTATAATAAAATGTTTGTTCACCCATAACTTACCCACACGGTGTATTATAAAATGTTTGTTCATCCATAACTTAGCCACACGTTGTATAGTAAATGTTTGTTCATCCATAACTTACCCACACGGTCTATAATAAAATGTTTGTTCATCCATACTTTACCCACATAGTCTACGTTAAAATGTTTGTTCATCCATACTTTACCCACATGGTCTACGTTAAAATATTTGTTCATCCATAACTTACCCACACGGTCTCTCCGTAAAGACAATGTAGTTTACATGTTCTGGTTCTTTTTCCACAAACTTGATACAAGTGTGGTTCTCCCAGTGTTGCATAGCCTGTTTAAATAAAGCTCTGTGGTCACCTGGAACAAAACCAAAACAGTTCTGATGGAATATACAGAATGTAGCACAACCAAAGCAGTTGTGATGGAATATACAGAATGTAACACAAGCAAAACGGTTTTGATGGAATATACCGAATGTACGACTATCTAACACAACCAGCGAACAATTCTCATGGAGTATACCGCATGTACGACTATCTAACACAACCAGCGAAACAGTTCTGATGGAATATACCAAATGTACGACTACCTAACACAACCAGCGAAACAGTTCTGATGGAATATACAGAATGTACAACTATCTAACACAACCAGCGAAACAATTCTCATGGAATATACCGCATGTATGAATATCTAACACAACGAGCGAAACGGTTCTGATGGAATATACCGAATGTACGACCATCTAACACAACCAGTGAAATAGTTCTGATGGAATATACCGAATGTACTACTACCTAACACAACCAGTGAAATAGTTCTGATGGAATATACCGAATGTACTACTACCTAACACAACCAGCGAAACGGTTCTGATGGAATATACCGCACGTATGAATATCTAACATTAATGGTTTCTCTTAAGTTTGATGAATCTTAAAACGAAAGGTCTTTTTTTTTGTTGAGTATAGAACTAACAGTTTAAAACAATCCTTCGTCAAGTATAAGCTACAGTTGCGTTAATTAATTATACACACATGACCTTAACTCAACAAGCCCAAATAAATCTCGCTACCTTCTTTACTTTTAATAAAATCAGAAACAAACTGTTTACCACTAAAGTTGGACTCTATTTCATAAGGAATAACAGCATAATCCCACAATCGCTTTATTCGGGCTGTGGCTGCTCTTTCAGATCGATGGCGGTTCCTTAGGCAGTGTCTAACTCGCGAAAACTTGCGGCTATTTCTTCGGCGTCTAGGGAAAAAAAAGTATTAAACATTTCCTTTACACTAAAGTATTAATACACTCTATTTACACTAAAAACCTTCTATCTTACCATGCAGAGGGCTCTGTAGCTATAGAGATAAGAAAATAGCTAATTCTGGTCAAAGCCAATCTTCAGCCAATAATTTAGTTAGTGTCATTAGATTCGATAAACATAGAGTAAGTTACATAGACTTCACAAGGCCAGATCGTATCAACAAACAGCTCGTCACAACGGTGTATAGACTTTACAAGGCCAGATCGTATCAACAAACAGCTCGCTACAACGGTATATATACTTTACAAGGCCAGATCGTATCAACAAACAGCTCGCCACAACGGTATATAGACTTTACAAGGCCAGATCGTATCAACAAACAGCTCGCCACAACGGTTATAGACTTTCACAAGGCCAGATCGTATCAACAAACAGCTCGCTACAACGGTGTATAAACTTTACAAGGCCAGATCGTATCAACAAACAGCTCGCCACAACGGTGTATAAACTTTACAAGGCCAGATCGTACCAACAAACAGATCGCCCCAACGGTGTATATGTTTCACAAGGCCAGATCGTATCAATAAACAGCTCGCCACAACGGTGTATAAACTTTACAAGGCCAGATCGTATCAACAAACAGCTCGCCACAACGGTGTATAAACTTTACCAGGCCAGATCGTACCAACAAACAGATCGCCTCAACGGTGTATATGTTTCACAAGGCCAGATCGTAGCAATAAACAGCTCGCCACAACAGTATATATGTTTCACAAGGCCATATCGTATCAACAGACAGCTCGCCACAACGGTGTATAGACTTTACAAGGCCATATCGTATCAACAAACAGCTCGCCACAACGGTGTATAGACTTCACAAGGCCAGATCCTATTAACAAACAGCTCGCCACAACGGTACCACTAATGCTACTCATGATAAGGAACAAATGTTTTGTGCTACCCTATTCTAGCGAAATTGGCTTTAACTTTAGTCTAATATGTGAAAACATCCCCCTTTCCACTGTACCAAACTGAAGATCAACACATTCCTAAAAGAGTAGACTGACCAGACGGAATCACATTCTCAAACAACGGATATTGAACATATAATGGATGTTCTTGAAACGCTTGAAGATGCCTTGAAAACAGATTTGTTGAAAGAGTTAGTGATAAAACTTCCTTAGACAACAAAAACAAAAGATCCGGAATTTTGAGGTGAAGAATCCTCCCAAAGGAAAGAAATCCATATTTAACCACCAAAGAAATGATACACTGGTTTTAGAGTTTGGAATACACGAAGGAGTAGGAGTAAAGAAGTAAGATTTTAAGTGGGAAGAGTAGACATGGTAAGGACCCTTCTCGAGGCTCAGAAAGCTTTGATGCTTTTTATTGATATGGATCTTCTTTGGTATGGTTGGTGTTTCTTGTAGTTCTGGTACTTGATGGTAACTCATGGATCTTCTTTGGTATGATTGGCATCTGTGTGTATCTAAGATTCTACTCAGTGGCAACTGTGAACTCGTATCACTACTGAATAAAGAAATAACTGTGTATCTAGGATTCTAGTCAGTGGCAACTGTTAACTTGTTTAATTAATGAATAAAGAAATAACTGTGTATCTAGGATTCTACTCGGTGGCAACTGTTAACTTGTGTCTTTGATGCGGTAGTCTTCATGCCCTTCGCTTAAATTTTCCTTATTCTATAATATTCACGCATTCAATTTAAGCTACACTTTCTTGCAGGCATAATGTGTTAGATGATAAATCCTGGCCCATTTGAAAAATTTTACATGGTAAGATAAACAAACTCACGTAGACGTAACTTTATTTAATAAAACAACACGTAAGCAATAAAGTAATAGTATTTATAGTAGTATATAGCGTACGAAACAGTTATGATCGTTCAGTGTACAACAAGGTTTCATAAGTTGAAGCAAAGAAACTCACAAAAAACGAAGAATAAAACCTGTACTAAAGAAAAAAAAGTAGTTAAAAGGTGTTTATAATAGTGTATGAAACGAACTGAAGCTAAATTATTACAAAGTAAAGTTAATATAAAGTTATAATGAAGGACCAAACTTAGCTGAATATGCAGAAACGTCTGAATGAGTGTTAACAGAGTGATAAGCATGTGGTTTTGAATGAACTGTGCGTGTGTTTTTTAGACCAAAATAAGTTGAGAAAACTCATAGAAATTGTATTTGTTAATTTGTTAATGTTTTTAAGGAAATTACACGTAGGTTAAATGTTATTTGTAAAATACTTTGAAAATTAAAGTTAATTTGAAATCGAAGCCAGTCGTCACGTAATGACAACAACATTGTGCCATTGTGTACCATACTCACTGCATTGGAAAGTTTGACTAAGCAAAATAATAAGCCGATTCTGAATTGAAAAGCCAATATAGAATCCTCGTTAAGGCCTTTCTAACGATATGGGATTTGTCGCGTTTGATCCAGAAATTTGCGAGAAAAGTTCCAGACAGACAAACGCATTATTTATACAGATATTATCCCCTTTGAAAGTGTATACTTTATTTGATGTAAGCTCCAGTGTTTCTTTATAGAGGTTTAGACGTACATTGACAATAAAAGCTGGTCTATATAGAAACAATAAAATGTTTTAAACAATAATATACAAAACATGGCGCTCTTGTTGATTTGTCCGAAATTCACGTTGACTCCATGTTTAGGAATATGTTCGTAATCTCCATTATAGTTGATATGGTTTTGTTATATAATTATCGAACACGGATGTTTGTTTTCCTATTAGCTTTCAGTTAGACTTCTTATCATACCGTACACTGTCACCGTATTACATTTTGAGTACTCGTTTTTTATTTTTCATTTACAACACTCGGTGTAAAGATACTTCAACAACCAGAGGGCGCTGTACGAGCTCTTCTCATACAGTTTATCTTTACATTATTTCAAAGCGTTTTAGCTAAAATCTCAAACTTACGTTTAAATGTCAGTTTTTCGTCCATATCAGTTGAAATACATCGTTTCTTAATGTAATCAGATCATATTTTTCTAAGATTTCCTTAAACTAGTTTTAATTTTTAAATGAGGGATTGATTTTATTGACAAGATATTTTCCTACTTTAAGAATAGGGTTGTTCTCAAAGTTAAAAACATACATGTTCGAAATAACAAACTCTAAGGCTAGTTTAATATATTCAGAAATAATTCAGTTGACTTTAAAATAGCTACCAAAATTTATCTAAAGTTTAAATAATATCAGCTTTCTAACAAACCGATTCTGAAAAAACATGCACACACGTATTAGTAAAATCATAAAAACAAAGTTCAAAGGTTACTTTCGGAAACGGCCGTTTCGTTCTCGACGGCTACTACTAACGCTGTGTCTTCTAACAGTTCGGCAGGACTCCCGAGGAAGTGCAGGGATCGGACGTTTCGCCGAGTCAGCAACACCAGCTATAGTATCATTAGTTCGGCTTTCTTCAAGTGTCTGCTGTAGTTTCTGTTGGTCGTATACGTCATTCTCTGGTCTTCCAAGTGCTATGTCTTCCACAAACTCGTCTGGTGGAAAGCATTAGATTTGATTAGTTTTTCAATAATCACTAAAACAGCTTCATAGCACCAGTAATTTATTCTTTAATTTATAAGAGTAGTGGAACGTGAGGAGAAAAAGCGTGTACAGCGCGTACTTCCGCCACGCAGATTTATAAGAGTAGTGGAACGTGAGGAGAAAAAACGTGTAGAGCGCGTACTTCCGCCACGCAGCGTTGATCATATTCGGCTCTTAAAAAATACGAAAATTTGTCCGTACGTCTGTCGTTATCAACGGATACGGACCATGTTTGACAGGACAATTAGGAATAATATTCTACATATGTCCATCAAGTTATAGAGCAAAAATAGTGTGAAAATCGATCCCCATGTTAACAGATAGGGATATTTGGATATTTGTGACCTTGCTGTGACCTTCATCTTCATCAAGTCATAGTTATTGTTTTATATTCAGAGTGGTCCAAAGGGTGATATGGATAGTCTCCGATATACAGGACCAAAACTCGTCGGTCGTATTGTGTATTATACTTGGACACTGTTAATATAAGGACCAAAACTCGTTGGTCCTATTGTGTATTGGATTCGGACATTGTTAATATAAGGACCAAAACTCGTTGGTCCTATTGTGTATTGGATTCGGACACTGTTAATATAAGGACCAAAACTCGTTGGTCGTATTGTGTATTTGATTCGGACACTGTTAATATAAGGACCAAAACTCGTTGGTCGTATTGTGTATTGGATTCGGACACTGTTAATAGACGGACCAAAACTCGTTGGTCGTATTGTGTATTATCCTTGGACACTGTTAATATAAGGACCAAAACTCGTCGGTCGTATCGTGTATTGGACTCGGACACTGTTAATATAAGGACCAAAACTCGTCGGTCGTATCGTGTATTGGACTCGGACACTGTTAATATAAGGATCAAAACTCGTTGGTCGTATTGTGCATTATACTTGGACACTGTTAAAATAAGGATCAAAACTCGTTGGTCGTATTGTGTATTTGATTCGGACACTGTTAATATAAGGACCAAAACTCGTTGGTCGTATTGTGTATTTGATTCGGACAATGTTAATATAAGGACCAAAACTCGTTGGTCGTATTGTGTATTGGATTCGGACACTGTTAAGATAAGGAATAAAACTCGTTGGTCGTATTGGGTATTAGACTCAGACACTGTTAATATAAGGACATTAATATTAAAAAGAAGAAAACATCTATACACTGCTCTGAAACAATTAAAGAAAACGAATTACTTGAAGTAGAATAAACTCAGACTCACCGCACTTACTTTATTAAGCGGTTTGCTAATAATTCTCTCAATGCTAAAACTTACAGCTTGGGGATTAAGCTAATGCTACATTGTAAGAGCAACTAATGAGACAACTCAGTATATCTAAATAACAATTTCGTGTTAACAATTGTATGAGGCCGTTTTAATATCTATACGGTATATCTAACAATTTAGTGTTAATAATTGTATGAGGCCGTTTTAATATCTATACGGTATATCTAACAATTTAGTGTTAACAATTGTATGAGTCCGTTTTAATATCTATACGGTATATCTAACTGATGTAATTATGTAACTCTCGCTTTCTGCAGCATAGAAAACTAATTATCGAGATAGTTTTCACACCATGTATGGTGCTCTCAAGGTATTCCCCATTCTTGTAGTTCCCCCACTTCCAGCGACACTGTATATCGTGCTCTCAAGGTATTCCCCATTCTTGTAGTTCCCTCACTTCCAGCGGCACTGTATATCGTGCTGTCAAGGTATTCCCCATTCTTGTAGTTCCCTCACTTCCAGCGGCACTGTATATCGTGCTGTCAAGGTACTCCCCATTCTTGTAATTCCCCCACTTCCAGCGACACTGTATATCGTGCTGTCAAGGTATTCCCCATTCTTGTAATTCCCCCACTTCCAGCGACACTGTATATCGTGCTGTCAAGGTATTTCGTTCTTGTAATTCCCTCACTTCCAGCGGCACTGTATATCGTGCTGTCAAGGTATTCCCCATTCTTGTAATTCCCCCACTTCCAGCGACACTGTATATCGTGCTGTCAAGGTATTCCCCATTCTTGTAATTCCCTCACTTCCAGCAACACTGTATATCGTGCTGTCAAGGTATTCCCCATTCTTGTAATTCCCCCACTTCCAGCGACACTGTATATCGTGCTGTCAAGGTATTTCTTTCTTGTAATTCCCACACTTCCAGCGGCACTGTATATCGTGCTGTCAAGGTATTCCGGTCTTGTAATTCCCTCACTTCCAGCGGCACTGTATATCGTGCTGTCAAGGTATTCTGTTCTTGTAATTCCCCCACTTCCAGCAGCACTGTATATCGTGCTGTCAAGGTATTCCCCCTTCTTGTAATTCCACCACTTCCAGCGACACTGTATATCGTGCTGTCAAGGTATCCCATTCTTGTAATTTCCAGCGACACTGTATATCGTGTTTGAAAGGTGTTTGGTTATGTACATTCTAATGACTGATATAAACGTAAAAACAACGAAGCACAAACTTTAGCCACTGGCGATATTCCTATTGTTCGGGACGGCTGATAACACTGGGGACTTGCACTTCCCATCACAACACAGTCCAGATTTTGTTGCATCGCACTCTTCCACACCTGGTTACGGTACAGTTCACGTCCAGACACGATCATAGCGAATTAGTGAATCGGTAAAAGTTTGACAACTGTAAGTCCTCAGCTTAAGTTGCTAATTACGCATTACCATTATCCAAAGATTTGGATTTATAACAATAATTTTCATTAACTTGTTTATGAATAAAAATCGGAATTATATACCCAATACTAAGAAATCAACTCACTGGAAAAATTCAAGTTTAGTTAAGTAATAACAACTATGAAATGTACCGTTATTTTTTCTATATTTAACTGAAATAAATAGAATTGTTTATTCGAGGTATCTAATAAGTTACCTAGAGTTTCTATATTTCTATAAATGTTTAAATTAATAATGGTTTTTTCCTGTTAGAGGGGATGCACCTCGTATAAGTTTTGTTTTTGTGTGTCTCGTTTTCATGTTCTAATCTGTAACATTGTATTAACTGGTACGCGAATAAAATGGAATTCCTTTGGTCTGATTATATTGTTGCGTATCTGATTGTTTGTTAATTTCCGGTGGAAATTCTTTTCTAGGAACTTCGGCGATATAAATCCTTTCTTGATTAAACCAGTTTATTATTTCTCGATACAAACTTTTAGTACACAGTAATTCCACTGTCAGTACGTTTCTCGTCACTTTAAACTTAACAACTTTTATGATACACGCTATAAACCACAGCGATTCCCAATCTCGATAACTTCGCCCAAAACTTACCGTGACTACTTTTCGCTTTACCATACATTCATTTTCCCAGGCTCTCTGCCAGGCTTATATACTAAAAAAGAGGGCGTCTCGAACAAACTCGGGCTTACCCGATTATTCATGATCATTCGAGAAATTCCTCACGTGTTACCAGCGTCACGTGACTGCCACTGTCGTAACAATATTTATCTCTCTTGCTTTTTTCTGTTTTCCCTCTTGGATTGCAAACAAAATTAATAAAAATCTTCCCGAAAACATCACAATATATATTAACAGGTGTGTAAGGAAGTTGATTAGTAATCAATACAATGTTTACTCGAAAGAAAAATAGAACACAAACGTAAGATAAATAAACAAAACATACGTAATCAGTTTAGTCCTAAGAGTAATTAACGTAGTTTAACTATTTAATTTGAATATCAAATAAATCATATATTTCATAACCAGATAAATTTGTAATAACTTCTAGTGATTTCGGACACATTGACGCATCAAAACAGTGTCGATCCTTTCGATATTCTGGACGACATAACTCCATGTATTCATTTTCTCTTTCCTTTCAGGGAGCTGACCGTTCGTTGTTCATCCACATTGCCAGCCATTCTGTAGTTCCGATTAGATTTCGTCTAGACACATGAAGTAAATTACGCTGCACGAGAATCCAGTCGTTTAAAGCTCTCTTTTGCTTTCACTGTAAAGGTTCTCAAAGCAATTATTTTACGTATCTAACGCTTTCATCCTGCATTTCGTACTCGATATCTTTACGGTAACTGCAACGTCTGTTCTCCCTCACAGGTTACGGAAAGATGGCAGTGAGAAAGTTTAAGTTAATTCAAAATAAACCCAAGATAAAGTACTGGAACTCATACTGGAGAAATAAAGAAGGTAGTGAAAGTTTAAAAACAAACAAAACCTTTCATAAGACAAGGGGGGGGGGAATTAAAGTTTGGTTGAGATATTCGCGCAAAGCTACACCAAAACTATCCGAATAAGCCTTTTCCGATTCATAGCTGATAGATTAAAGGAAAGGCAGTATCACCCAACGTCATCTCTTGGACTAATTTGACAGTCACTAAAGTACCCATAATTCCAATGTGCAGAGCTCAATTTGGCGGCAACAGGATGCGAACCATGGACCTTTGGACTTGCAGCCTGTCACGCTAACACTATGCCATCTTAAGCGCCCCAAAACTAAGGACAGTAGTATAAAGATTATAGAAAAAAAGTTTCGTTGATCGTATTGGAAACTATATTCTATTTACCATCGTTTCGTTAATCGTATGGGAAACTATTTATTTACCAACGTTTCGGTAACTCTACAGTTTACTATAATAGGACACTAACAAAGGGTAGTAAACATCAGTAAATAGGAATTAGTTAACTATTCGATTGATGTCACAGTTACAAATTAAGACAAGATAACAACAACGGCAGTGAAGCATCTTGTTCCAAACACGAGATTTTTATCAACGTGATAATAACCCCACTTTGTATTCGTGGTGTAGTGTTCAGCTGAATGGAAGATATACAATAAACTTGCCAGTAACTCAGTCTTAACAGTACTAGAGAATCATTCTTACAAGAACTGAAAGAAAATTACATCAGCAAAAGTTAACAAGTATTTCCTGTTCTACCAGAGCTCGCAAAGTCTGTGCAAATTGAATAAACATATTGGATTTTGGATGAACACTTATAGGAAGTATAGAGGACAATTATAGAAGCAAATTTCCCATAAGGCATCACTCCTTTCCTCCACTCCTCCTTTCTCGTCATAGCGTCAAAATTATAGCGTAGTTATAATGTGAATATTGGTTGCAGTGTAAAAAATATAACTTTGCCCAATGGCATGTGTTAAACTTACACAAGCAATTTTCTAGCTCAAATAAATGAACGATAACTTATAACACTCGAGAAAATACAGACATTCGAAGAGTTACAGAATTGAAACACATTGAGTCATTTTAATTTGGAGTTCGTAGTTAAGTTACAGTACTGGAACAGACAACTTCCTTTACATGACAAATCTTCTAAATACGGAGAGTTAAAGCACGTTGGATCTTCATAATTCATCGCTTAACTTTTAAACGTTTGGTACATTCAACTCAGCCTTATAAAATTAATTAATCTACATGAAAATTAGAGGAAACATTGCCTAGTCATCAACTGCTTATGTTCAAAGTGAATGTTGGTTTGTGTGTTTTGAGGTGGACCTATTGAAACATGACAGCATACTGACAATTCGATGTATGAACAAACCCTAGCTAATGAAGTCAATGTCTAGACTTCAAGCGTAAGCACTTCCTATGTCTAGACTTTAACATCTCGTTGATGTTTAGATCAAACTGAAACAGCAAAATTAAAACCCTAGGTATGTCACATTAATAAATAGTTTTTTATCCAAACAATGAAAGAAACTTTAGAAGTAAAAAATAAATAAATATGAGGTTTATGGGAAAATATGACCAAATAATTTGTTCCTACATCGAGATTTTGCATGAATTAATAATAAGGCATTTATTAAAGATTCAAATGTTGAGCATACCATAAGCTCACACACACCCTCGAATTTTGATACAAGTTTTTTAAGTACACGTTCTCGTTCTTATTTTATATCGCAGGTTTGTTACAAAAATTAACGATATAACTTGTGGTGAAACCTATTTTGTTCAACACCAGATGTGACGTTTATTATACAAAGATTGCTCACTAAACAAATTGACAGAACTATTTGATAAAACACCTTGTGGCGAAACATTTATTCCCAGCATGCAACAGTTACATGGAACTATTATCATTTTTCTGCCCGGCTAAATTAATGCAAACAGTAAGTAAATATGTTTGGTTTATTTAACTACCTTATTTAATTATTATAGGAACACTATCTGTAAACTTATTCAGGTTGGCCTATAACTAAACGACGTTGATTTGACAAGCGCCGTCTATCGTTAATTTCAAGAACTCTCCCATACATAGAACGGCACGAATGAACGGTTTCAAGTGCGTATCACGAGAATAATATCTACATAATTAAAATAGTAACGAGTACATGGGAAGCTGATTAAACTATTTAAACTATGAAAAAATGAAATTCAGAGTAGGGAAGTACGGACAACGTCACATATGCGTAAGGTAGTGTAGATAGTAATATGCATTGCAGAGGAAAAAATATTTGGAAAAATAGACTCGTAATCCATCATAGCTCCATCTCAGATAGCAGTGTTTGTTTAAGGTTTTGTATGCGAATTTCATTTGTTTATAGACACTTAGAGTACAGGTAACGTCACCTGTTGAGTTATAATACTTATCTCCGATACCCAGGTTTTGAAAGCATAGCTAAGTCTGATGTTTCTTATTAGATAAGTCGATCCGTTTGTCATTTTATCACGCTATTCGGCTCGAAGTGTCTTTTGTACTAGAGGTTAACCTCACAGTCATTGAGACGCCCCACACGGCCGTCAGATTCGTTTAGTACTCGATGTACCAGGTAGGTCTTAACTATTTTAATTATATTAAATACACAGTACTGAATCAGCATTTTATAAAATTTGTGCATTCAAATACAACCAAGACATGTTTCGTACGAGAAGCAGGAATCCCCCTTTTATATTATATAAATCAATTGAAGCTTTGTACTGTTAGTTAGGTTTGTGTTTTAGTGAAATGCTCCCGTAGAAGCTGTAAAGCGAAGCATTGAACGTCATATTAAAGGGAGTGGGAATTAGTGTTACAAAGTTGTTTATTACTGGTATCAAAATGTCTTTTATGCTCCAATACTCATTAGAGAAATTAGACGTTTCGTCTTGTGCAAATCTCACATAAATGTGGTAATATTTGTGGAGTATTTAGTCCTTTTAACTCCTTTAATTAGGCCTACAAGTCAAAATTATTTTCAATATTATCTTTGTTGAAAAGAAACGGTGATAAACATGGTACTAAATTTCAACCCACCTTATAAAAAATAAAACCTTGGTTCGAATGAAATATCTACTATGTAAATGTAGCGTGACATCTACTATGTAAATGTAGCGTGACATCTACCTTGTAAATGTAGCGTGATATCTACCTTGTAAATGTAGCGTGATATCTACCTTGTAAATGTAATTTCTCTGTTTCGAAGTTAGATAATCGTAAATGCTACAATTGTAGTGGTAGGAAAGACTTGAACTAGTACTATTTTAATCAGTTAATACCGTCGGACGAAATACTTTTTATCAGTCGTCTAATCTGTTCCGTGGCTGTGGAGTCGACTTCGAAGATTTCTTGTCAACAGCAACATTGATCCTGTCCACGTGATAAACTCCCATATAAAACTCTGTACACATTTTATCTAGACTTCAGAGAAATCGGTCATTAAACACAGAAATTTCAGCGACGTGTTTTTAAACATTCGGGTCAAGAAAGGACAAATAAAAATGTTCAAAAACCTTGTTATAACAGACTAAATCTTTGCCTTACTTTTATATATTTCGTGTCAGACCATAGACACCATTCAAAGAACAGTCTAGACTACACAAGCCGACAGTTATAGAACGTCAACACACAATTTTCCAATCAGTAATAATAGAAGAATCTAGACGATAAGGCGCAAAGAAAGATTGCACACTCAGTTCTCCCTCTGGCTCACGGGAGGACAAAGTAGTTGAGCATAGTGAAAGACACGTGAACTGCTATTAAATAAGAAATATGATTCGTCTTGTGTATTTAAATATTAAAAATCATAAAATATAAAAGTGCGTTTTAAAAAGCAAGAAAATTTCATTTAATCATGGAAACTTTAAAACACGTCGTTTCTCCCGAACAAGTATCCCATCTAACACTTACCTACCGTAAAATAAAATTAAGTTGATGTTATTAAATATTAATTAACTTATTGAAAAGACCACAATTTAGATGTACAATTCATGAAACACAAATTCACAAGTTTTTCGCCTTATTCTTGGGACTATATTGGAAGGCTACGTAAGTTCATTCACTAAGATTCAGCGTCGAATTTTGATAGCAATAACATCAGTTAACTATTCTCTGCAATAACCAAGATATTACGGAGAGAAGGATTCCATGTATAGTTGTTAGATTCAGTGTCTACTTTTAGTAGTACCTACTACCGTTAAACACCGAGTGATAATGGAGAGACGGATTCCATCTATAGTTGTTAGATTCAGTGTCTACTTTTAGTAGTACCTACTACTGCTAAACACCGAGTAATAATGGAGAGACGGATTCCATCTATAGTTGTTAGATTCAGTGTCTACTTTTAGTAGTACTTACTACTGTTAAACACCGAGTAATAATGGAGAGACGGATTCCATCTATAGTTGTTAGATTCAGTGTCTACTTTTAGTAGTACCTACTACTGTTAAACACCGAGTAATAATGGAGAGAAGGATTCCATGTATAGTTGTTAGATTCAGTGTCTACTTTTAGTAGTACCTACTACTGTTAAAGAGGTTGAATAGTAACGAATATTAAGCTGAGAACCCCCAACTACAACTGCGGCGGTTTGTTCAGTTTTTTATTTTATTTGAAAACGAATTATCTGGAAACATCAGATAAAACACGGGAGTTGACACATGTTATTTGTGTTTATCTAATATAATAAAGAAATAACAAAACACGAAAACCAAACTATCCGACTCAATTTGCTACAAAACCAGACTATTTTAGAAACTTGTGTTAAAGAGAATACGTGCATGAAAATAAACAGTTAAAGTAAATTTGATCATCGCGAAGTACCGACGTAGCATGTTGTGTTTTTACGTTTCATAATTTCACATTCTAGAAAAGCAATAACGGACTGTTAAAGGAAATACACGTGGTATGTGCGGCAGTTATTGTTTAACATTCATTATAGGAAATTTTTTGGACGTACTGATTAATACTAGTAATTCACTCATTATTATAAAGCCCAAACATCGGACTGTAACAAGTATTGTCTCGCGGCTCTAGATCTTAATACATTGTGTTCGGTAGGAAACAGCAGAAGTGACCCGTTTCAAAACAAAGGTATTAATGGAGGTGAAAGTTAAGCCTATATAACATTAGGTTCAATATGTGATAAATCAGTGACTAACATCGTTGAATATTTTAATGCACTAACAACCTAGATCAAGAAGCAAATTGTTTAATATAACAGCTTTTAAACAGATCCACAAGTGTTTAATTTTTAACTGAATTGTATCATAGCTTACCTGATTTACAGGGATCAAGGTAGATGTCGTTAGATACTTTGTGTGGAAATGTTTGGTTCAGCAGTTCCTCAATAGTGTAAGTACGCGCCTGTGTACTTGATGTTACTAGTACAATCCATACTGCCAACAATACAAACAAGATGGGCCTCCGATTGCGTTTAACACTTATTTTTGTTGCCCCGAAAAACTGTTCACTTGAACGCAAGGAAATCTCATCTTCTACGTCCATTCCGTCGGTCTCCCACCAAATTAAGACAAGACTGGCCGGATAACAATTAACGGACCAATCAACTGACTCACCAGGAAATATGAATTAGTTTCAATGTTGTGATTTATTCCAGAACTGTAACAACGTTCATTCAGCAGCTGAAAGACAGAAAAATATTAATTAGTAGTACAACAGAGTATTGAAGTTTTGTGTGTTATAATCACGCAAATTAGACTGTTAGGATCGTTATAATTATTTATTAACTTTTAATCTTGGAACGTATTATAGCCACTTAAATCAACCTTATTTAGTGCAAGTTTTTAGGATAATTCACGATATTTATTCTTATAACCTTGCAGTTTATTCTCTTTGTGTTGTTGATATTTGAACTACGTGAGAGAAACCTAATTCATAGCTTTTAAATGAACGTAAAAGGAAAGATTATGAAATCAATGCATAATATACATCATTGTCATTAGTTTGAACACTGATAATCCAGTATTTTATATAAAATTCACCATTTAATTGCTTCACCTGAAATGCCAGACCTTATCCACAGCCGACAACGTTAAGAGTATTGTTTATAAAATGCAACCAGCAGTTCACATACGATAACTTTAAAATGTTACTATTTATTTCATAATCACAGCGAATTTGACAAATATGGCGATTGTGAAAGATTGGCGAGCGATTAATAATACTTGGTTCTATTAGTCCCCTCCCTCTTAAAACAAAACAATCAACTCAGATTCCAACTTTTATAAAGAAAAGACCAAGCAATTGAGTTATCAACTTTGGTGCTGAAACAACATGACACGTTGAGCAGTAGAGCCGTCTAGAAAGACTTGCAATAAGGTCGAACCACAGCCATGTTACCATGGTGTAAGCAACGGGTGAGAACAGACGACCACAAATATCTCATCTTTGCTGTTTTTGAATTATAAGTTTTGTAAAGTGTGGGATATCAGCTTGTTCTAGGCAACAGTATGCTACACTATAAATAAGAACCTTTGTCTGGAAAAACGTGAAAAGTTACTTCTGTGACAACCATCACATACATTCGTCAAGTAGCTGGAGATTGAAACTGGTACTCATGTTTTCACACATTAACACATGTCGGTCAAGTCACCGAACACAACGCTAATGGACTTAAGGACAATCAGACTTTTGGAAAGGGCACTAGAAAACTTGTACACTACATGGATCATGGAAAGTTGCAGGGAGGAGAAGCTTTGCTCAGAACATAACTGCTTTACGACGGAGCCTTTTGCAATGGAAATTAATTTGTCATTGTCAAGATAAACGGACTGTAATGACGTAGTACTAAATCGTTTTAATATAACGTGTTCAACCTTAGTATAGAATACTTCCAATAGAAATAATAATAATAAAAAAAAACATTAACAGCATGTAGCGATGGAGTGAAAGATAAGAATATAAAAATAATGAACATTAACAACATATGATAGGAGTGAGTAAGAAATATAACAAGATAAGAAATGCACAGGGATAAGTTAATTAAACCCGAAAACTAAGGGTGTTAGAGATAACGATGTTAATATACCGAAGGAGCTATTAAGGAGAAGGTAGCTCCGTTATTTCGAGGGAAGACGGCTCAGTTATTGCATAGAGTACTGGAGCAATTTATATCAGACTGAAACAAGACAAGAGGAACTCACGATGTAACACCAAGTTATATAAAGGTCTAGACAGATTCGGTCACTTGCAAGATCAGCTAGACAGTTTGACAATAGAATACGTAAACTCAAAAATTTTATTTCCAGCCACAAAACTTGAACTGTCACGTTCCATATATCAGTCGCTAGAGTTCTGGTAATAAAGACAGCATCGATTTATATACGTTTGAGTTCAATGAAGTGTTCATACAGCTATACATTGATCAAGCTAAGATAACATTAGCTTTTTTATCTACTTATATAAACAAAACTGTTAAACAATGCTCGATATGAGACACTGTCTAAAATATTCCGAAAAAAAGGTAAAACTTGTTACTTGAATAATTTGGTGAAAATAATAGACAATCATAGAATGCTTTTTTGTTTAATATAGGTTTGTTTTAGAACAAGTCCTAATGTATTTTCAAGAATCCATCAGAAGCTCACTAGTAGGTAACTACAGATTTAAATCATTCTAAATTGTAATGATTTAAGGTTATATACACTCTATAGATAGCCATAAAAATATATTTCTAAACAATTTAAATAAGTGCTGGGGCGGAATCAAGAAATTGTTCGCTAGTTTAAAACTTTAAATCCACGAAAATTATGTAAACTACAAATTAAATCCGTTTAAATTAGCGAACTTGCGAAACATATAAAAGGTCATTTGAATTCATTAACGACGTTTTACTAGAGAAAACGATTTTCGTTTCTTAACAAGACACCACAAGTCGCGCTACAGTTACTGTTGTACTGTACAAGGATTTAGCATGAACCAACACCCTTAAAGTTCTCAACAAGACACCACAAGCCACACTACAGTTAATGTTGTACTGTACAAGGAATTAGCATGAACCAACACCCTTAAAGTTCTCAACAAGACACCACAAGTCGCGCTACAGTTACTGTTGTACTGTACAAGGATTTAGCATGAACCAACACCCACTAAAGTTCTCAACAAGACACCACAAGCCACGCTACAGTTACTTTTGTACTGTGCAAGGAATTAGCATGAACCAACACCCACTAAACTTGGTAACAAGACACCACAAGCCACGCTACAGTTACTTTTGTACTGTGCAAGGAATTAAGATGAAGAAACACCCACTAAAGTTGGTAACAAGACACCACAAGTCACGTTACAGTTACTGTTGTACTGTGCAAGGAATTAGCATGAACCAACACCCACTAAACTTGGTAACAAGACACCACAAGTCACGCTACAGTTACTTTTGTACTGTACAAGGAATTAAGATGAAGAAACACCAACACCCCTTCCCCTCTACAGGTTTTATCAAGACACCATAAGTCACGCTAAAGATAGTGGTACTGATCAAGGAATTAATATGAACCAAACACCTTCCCCCCTCTACAGGTCTTATCAAGACACCACAAGTCATGTTACAGATAGCGATCTCTGAATGATTTTACAGTTGAAATCTAAAGTACAAAGGAACAAAAAAATAACCAGGTAAAATAATCATGATAAGAATATCTAGATAAGTAGTATAATATATACCGTTAATAGAGTAAAAAGGTTTTATTATCGAATAAACAGAGTATTTGTTTTGTCACAACGTTTCATCAGGTTAAACTGGCATCGTCTAGTACACCGAATGCAGATTATAGCTGATGAATGTAGAGGTTCACCTGGTTGTAACCATATAAATAATGGTTCTATGATAAACACGTTTTCAGTTACACTGACAGAGTTCGTACTTTATTTATAGCGTCAAATGAACCAATCACGTTATCGTAACTTGAATATTAATAAGTAACGTCTTTCAGTAGACCTTCCAAAAATGTAGTAGTTTATTAACAAGTAACGTCTTTCAGTAGACCTTCCAAAATGTAGTAGTTTATTAACAAGTAACGTCTTTCAGTAGACCTTCCAAAAATGTAGTAGTTTATCATTCAGGTAAGTTTGTTTATCTATTGTTAATTTCTTGGTTTTACTAGTCATTATATCGAATTTAACTCAATATATACAAGTGTTTCGTTCGTTATACTTTTATAATAAAATATTGATTTGCGTTGTTAGTTTAGAATCTGTATTTAGGATCATCTTTAACCTTAGCTGTCTGAAACTCACGATATATTTTCGGCTGTTATCCCAATAATATCCTTAATAGCAAGGTTATCCAACTGATGACGTAATGAATTCTAATGTTTATAAGTAGAAAACTACATTTCATTAATAATACTGATGGCTTGGTTAGTTTTCAGTTTCGCTGTAAGTACATAACTTACTCTGATCGGAAGTTATTACTATTAGTCACTTTAATAAAGTTAAATCAAGAACAAAAAATAAAAGAAGTCCTTCTCTTCGGTAAATACGTTAAATATGATTCAATAAAATAATTTTCGTTTTTAATTCCAATCCATAACAACTACTTTCAGTTTTACAAGTTCTTATTTTAATAGTTACAGTATTTTTAATTAATTATTCATTCAAGTAGGACCATTTCTCACTCGACATGAAGTTTATTTTACATTTATTTAGTTGAATTAAAATACCATCGTGTTCAGACCAAAACCTACTAAAATTACAAAATGTGTCGCCAGCAAAATGTTCCGTACAATATGCATGAGCTGCGGTTATTTCGCCAATCAGCGATCTTTCATAAACAAAAATTATTCGTTATTGCATTAATTATTTTGTAAACACGTGACAGGTGAGAGTTCGAGGCTTGAAAACCTAGAACTCTTCGCACCAATTATAAAGTAGTTTTATTTTATGGAGTAACGATAGACTGTCTTCAGAATTCCTTCTGTACTAAATTTTAGAACTGTTCTTAAAACGAAGTTAAAAACAATCTGATACAATAATAGAATAACACTAACATAACACGTGGTACATCACATCTTTAGAAAACTCACTCGCAAAGTGGATAATTTACCTCAGAACTTCCCTACAATCCAGCGGTACTGATCGCAGATATACCAAATCAACCCTTGCAAGGATTTCCTCAGCACTGTTTGGAAGTATGAACCGCAATATCGAACTGATCAAATAGAACTTGTGACAATCAACACGCCGCCAGCGACGTTTCTAGCGCAGCGATTGTGGCGCCAATATATTAGCAGCTTATGCGCAGGCCTACAAATGTGATTAGCGCGAAATTTGTATACACCCAGTGAATGAAGGTGAGTCATGAGATAAGAAACGTGTCAACCGGTATTTACATAATCTAAAACTTAACAATATAATGTTTACAGTTAAAATAGGCAACTTACACTACTGATCTGCAATTAACTTTGTGTGTAAGTGCATTCTTATAAGAACATCTATACCAATTGGCGCGTGTGAAGGAACTGTTTGTAAGTGTAAGACTCCATGCACAAACAAACTTTGTAGATTGACACACTTGGAAATCACTACATGGACATGGCCACTGAGAAGGGTCCGAGTGTGTGGACTGAAGAATTTCAAATGGAACATAATCAAAATAAGACCTCTGATCAAGAACAACGTACCTAACCAAATCCACAGCAAGGATCATAATTTGAGGCTACTGACCTCATTTCATATGTGGCTCACCTATTCTATGAAAATATATAAAAGACAAATTATTTTTTGCATAACTATCCATGAATTAGAAAAAAAAATTCGTTGTTTTTTACCTGATTCAAATTTAACTTATGTCCTTGAAAAATATGTACTTTCGTTACAAAGAAACGTAAAATCTTTTTTAAGCTTAAGGAAAGGCTTACCTTCTAATTATTTGTTTCTCTGCGGTTGTTTACTTACATTCCAACTTCTTTTTCCGTGTGCGGAGAGTGATCAAAAAAGAATCAACAGATCAATCTTTATTAGGGGTTTCAGTTGACAGATTAAATTTTATTAGAGGTTTCATTGACAGATTAAATTTTATTAGGGGTTTCATTTGATAGAATAATCTATATTAGGGGTTTCATTTGACAGATTAATCTTTATTAGGGGTTTCATTAGACAGATCCAGCTTTATTAGGGGTTTCATTTGACAGATTAATCTTTATTAGTGGTTCTTTTGGCAGATCAATTTTTATTAGGGGTTTCATTTGGCAGATCAATCTTTATTAGGGGTTTCATTTGACAGATTGATCTTTATTAGGGGTTTCATTAGACAGATCAATCTTTATTGGTGGTTTCATTTGGCAGATCAATCTTTATTAGGGGTTTTATTTGACAGATAAATCTTTATTAGAGGTTTTATTTAACAGATCAATCTTTATTACGGGTTTTATTTGACAGATCAATCTTTATTGGGGGTTTTCTTTGACAGATCAATCTTTATTAGGGGTTTTATTTAACAGATCAATCTTTATTACGGGTTTTATTTGACAGATCAATCTTTATTGGGGGTTTTATTTGACAGATCAATCTTTATTAGGGGTTTTGTTTGACAGATCAATCTTTATTAGGGGTTTTATTTGACAGATCAATCTTTATTAGGGGTTTTATTTGACAGATAAATCTTTATTAGAGGTCTCATTCGTAGTTATACTCTAGTTTTTTAGGTTTCAGTGTCATTCAAAAGTGAAGGCCACAAGTGCAGGACTTATCAAGGTGTCTACCACACTATGATTGGAAACTTCACACATAACACTATATGGGTGTCTCACAGTATAACAAGAAATTTCCTGACTGTTTTGAGCATTCATGTTTCATTCGCTTATGTAACAGGATAAATTCATTCATTTCAAGATGGAGTGTTCACAGGAAAAATTCATTCATTCATCTCAAGATGAAGTGTTCACAGGAAAAATTCATTTATTCATCCCAAGATGGAGATTTCATAGGATAAATTCATTCATTTCATTCCCAGATGGAATGTTCACAGTATAAATTCATTCATTTCATCCCCAGATGAAGTGTTCACTAGATAAATTCATTTATTTTATCCCAAGATGGGGTGTTCACAGGATAAATTCATTCATCCCAAGACGGAGTGTTCACAGGATAAGTTCATTCATTTCATCCCAAGATTGTGTGCTCAAAGGAAGAATTAATTAATTCATCCAAAGATGAAGTTTTCTCTCAGGTTTTTACGTATATGTGGGCAGGATTCTTTACAGTAGGTGTCTGGGTCTTGTTGGAAATAAATTTCAACGATAAACAAACAGAACACAAGCCAATTGTTTTAAAATAATACAAGCAAACAAAAACTTATCAAAAACGAAAGTAAATTTAGGGATGGCTAATATCAATCCTTCAAATAAATAAACAAACAAGATAGTAGAGGTGGCAGTTGCATCATCCCTACGTAATAGCACAGGCACACGGTGTAGTAGAATGTTAACAGACAAACATAGGATAAATTAAACTTAACTGTATTTGAATAGTTATATATATTGCCATATGTTAAATCCTGCTGTGCTGTTATGTGGAGATGATACAAATGCCATCCCTAGTATTTTGTTTGCAATGTTTTTGATATGTGTCGTGCGGCCAAAAAACAACCTACAAGACACACTGTAGGTTATTAACAGTAGTAGTAGTTTAGCGATTTTCCACTTGCTGTATCTCCGACTGTGGTAATCCAAACTATCACATATCTTCAGTGGATGTGCTCTACTGAGCCTTTACTTCACATACCAAATTTCAAGTTGCTACATTAAGAAATACCTGAGATATAACATCTAAACTTTTCATTAAAGTTTCTTCCTTTTTCCTGCTCAACAAAAGAACGGAAACTTTATTTGATAGAAAAACATACTTATGTTTTATTGA